GGTTGTAGTTATGTTATGCAGTCATGCAGTTACATGCAGTTATGTGTCGCGCAGTCCGGTGGAGCACATGTTGAAACTTTCACCGATGTACCTCTTAGCAAATGACTCACGCCGACGCCGATGTAGTCATGTACCAGCGATATACCACGTGGTCCGGTGAAGCACATGTTGAAACTTCCACTTACGTTCTTCTTGGTAAATGACTTACGCTGACCGCTGTTTCAGTCATGAACTCTCATTCGCACGGACGCCATTCATGCCTATAAATGGCAGAAAGCATTCGCACCAGTATGTATCAGGCATATCACGGGTCTGAGTGGCAGCCTGGAGGGAGTGCCCATAACTCTCATAAAGTTTGCAAAGGTTGTTAAGAAATCCGATGGTAACGCATGCAAAGATTGACTTAAAAAGGCATGTTTATCATCTCGTTTGCTTTCTCTCGCTCACATTTCGCTATTCCTTAGCCATATGTGTGGGCTTGACCCTCTCCAAACCCGAAGCGCTTGACAATATCGTGAACCTCTCGACTTACCAAGGTCTTAATGGACACTTTTTGGAATGAAAATAGGTCATGCCATTGCAACATGTTCCATAAGCTATACAGTTCATCACCGAGGTTTACAAGCACAGCTTTGAACATCATCTTTTGGCCAAAGACGTCAAAGTGAGCATGTTTCCAATTTGGGTGTCGTGACCAATGCTAGTCTGCGTCAGCTGGTATTTGCTGTGACGGGGGGGGGGGGGGGGGGGTGGACGGATTCGATCTATCCCAGACTCTCGTGCGCAGTCATCACGAAGCACAAGAGCATGCCCAGCGAGGGACAGTACAAAGACGCACCCTGCACGGGGCCTGCAGCACTGAAAAGCTCCTCATACAATTTTTTAGACAGCTGTACTGGTGGGTGTTGGTGAAACATCACGGAGCCACGCTGCTCTTCAAACATGCCCATTTTTAGGAGAGTAACTGACGAGGCGCCATTGGAGAGCGTTACCATGGGACTGTGCAAGCCCACCCGGCATGACAATGGACAATGGGCGCAATTTCCAAGCCTTGTCTGGTAATTCCCTTGCGATGCAAGCAGGCTGACGACCATCCTCGGGCCAACCGGATCGTAACTCTGGTGGTGCCGTGAAGGCTTTCGCCTTCTTCTGAGTCTCATGTGAATGTCACGGCGCGCTTTGTGCTGATGAATAATCGAGTCCCCGGATTGCCGCCGGAGTAAAGTAAAAACCCTGAAGTGCATCAATTATATTTTTGGCCGAGCTGACACAATCGACAAAGTCGTTTTGTTACTGCAGTCAAAGGCCATCCCAGGGCAGCTGGGCCACAAGAACACGGACTGCAAAAGGGATCGGGTATAACATGGAGGTGCAAAGCATGTCTGTGCTGGCTTCCTCTCGAAGCGAGGCTGTTACGCTACATTTATAAACGAAAAATGTAGCCATTATGAATTGAAAGATATTATGTTGAGTGAACGGCCTGCAATGCACCAGGGGTACTGATTAAAGGGAATGCTTCACATTTGAAGATGGTGAGGCAGGCATCAGATAAGATAAAACAAGCTTACTTACGCCAATTGGTATATTTTTAAGTGGAAAAGACTGCTCTGGACAGCACAATTCTCTATTTAGTAAATTTGCTCCTCAATGCGTCATGATTTCATTACGTCATCGTACCTTGCACTGCAACTGACTGAGAGCCAACTGACGGCCGTTATATCTGGCAATTGCGCTCACGAACGCCATACATGAACGCCTCAACAATAGCATTTTTTGGCTTTGATCGTCGCATGGCTTACGTGATGACAGGATTTGAATGACGTTGTTATGACGGTACGAATGTCAAGGTGACTTTGAAACACTCTCTCTGATATACCTCTCCCCATTTTCGCGGGTGTGTAGTTCAGAAACTAGAGAAGCTTAGGCCAGAAGGGCCGGATTGTGAACAGCATCGAAAAGGTCTTCAAGATGGCTATTTTAGTTCAAAACCCCATATAAATGTGGATCACTCCCTTTAAACTACGTTGCAATGTGCTACATAACGATTGCATTGACGGCAATCAATATTTCGAGCTGCGCTCATCATCAAGAGAGATGAGCACAGCCGATTACATCAGATCAAGGACGATGGTGGACGTTATAGGCGCAGATAAATTATGTAGCCACAATTGTCGCATGGGAAATATCACAACAGTTAGCATTCGGTGGACTATGAATTGTTGATCGGACTGGAACCGCGTGTTATCGAAGTATTACAGCAATGAGCCAACCTTAATAACGTAATAAACATAGCTGGCTTTAAATTTCCAGCATCCAAAAGAATGCGCCGAAATAACCAACGGAAAACCGAGTACAGCCCGGCGCGTAAGCTTCACACGGGCCCACTAGCACGCTGTTTTATAAATGGTCGGATCCACTTCGTTCACTATGCACTCCCGTATTATCATTCTGTACTGTATGGTTATGAAAGTGAAAGAAAAAGGAAAGCGCTCCTTATATA